TTTTGGATCTCATCAGTGCGTTGCAGACAGCTCTGACAGAACACAGACCAACTTTTACCAGCTGTCTGTTGCCTGTTTTTGTAATTAAATATACAAAAAATTCGTTCCTATATAACACCATCAAGAGCAGTGGTCTATTTCAGAATCAGTTTCATCATATTGTAAGATAATCAGAAGTTTTTGTTTCATTTGCGTTCGTTTAGAATTATATTGATATACACATTTTCCTTTGTCTAAAAGTGTAAATTTAACTGAAAATTTTGATAACAAACTGCCGATATATTCTCGTTAGAAGACAGATATAAAGTGAATACAATGCAAAATTAAAGTAATAGTCGACACATGAGCCATAAATCACGTCGTGGAATTCGTATAATTATGGTGAGTCTGTAAGCTTTTGCCGCGAATCCATGGGCGAAGGATGGAGCGCGGGGAGCGGCCGGAATTGGGAACTGACGGGACAGACTCCGTCGCCATTCTTCCCTCTCGCGGTCGGTAATTTAGGCAAAACGTTGTTTTGTGCATTAATCACAATTCATTAGAAAGGGCTGGTGCTGCTTCTGTAAGATAAATCAATTTGAACTTTCGCTTCGCCTGTTATGAATTTCCCCGATAATAATAAACAGAAACGCATTGATTTCCACTGCAACAGATCGAAACAATGCAAAATCTGACAATGATTTGCTTTAATCATTCTCTGTGCGAACATTTTCTGTATATCTTCATCATCATCATCATCATAAGGTCGTCAGTCCTAAGACTGGTTGGACACGTACCTCCACTCTTTCCAATCCTGCGCTAATCTTCGCATTTCCCTAAAACTAGAAAAAAAAAACTTTTGGGTGTTTCATTCCCACCAGCCAGTAATGCTGGTGGGCGGGCAGTCCCTCCGGACTACGCCGGAAGGTAGGGCGGAAGGCCCTCTTCAGCCTGCTTTCAGGGTGGTGTTTCGGGTGAGAAAGATGAGACGGACGAAATGAAGACAGAAGAGAGTGAAAGATTATCTGTGGAATAATACTGCCTCAGCATTTGCCTAAGTGATCCAAGGAAACCAATGAAAAGGCAGACGGACCCGGAATCGAACCGGCGTCCTCCCGAATGCTAAGCAATGGTCTAAACCTCTAGGCCATGTCGCTCAGTCTAAAACTAGAACAACCCACATCCTTAAGTATTTGAGAACAGTAATATAGTCTAGGTATACCTCTACCCCTCCTAACTTCCGTTTCTGCCTCTAATATGTCTGACTAGACCTTCATGCCTGAGAAGGTGTCCTACTAACCTATCTCGCCTATTTCTTATTGACTGCCATAGAGTCCTCTGCTCTCTTACTCTTTCTAATACCTCTTCATTTCTAACCTTTTCTACCCATGATATCCTCATCATCCGCCTATAACACTACATTTCGAACGCTTCTAACCTTTTCCGCCGCGCCCACTGTCCATGTTTCGCACCCGTATAATGCCGTGCTCTAAACATATACCTTTAACAATCTTTTCCGAATTTCTAAATCAATAGTTCGCGAACATAGAAGTGACTTCTTTTTATTGGAGGCGATTGGACCCTGCGCTATCCTCTGCTTTATATCCCCACTACTCCTTCCGTCCTTTTCTGTATATACTTAACAATAATTTCAAGTGAAGAACATGATATACATAAGTATTAACTTTGCTACTGTTAATTTGATACTAAAGTTTTGAGCCCTCCACTCAACATCAACAAACCGTCCTAATTTCTTTAAACCATCTCCCAAAGCAACATCTTGTGTGCGTCCCCTAAAATACACAGGGCTTTAACTAAACGTATGTAGTACAAAGATGATACGACGTATCAGACTGTTTAGCGGTCGTAAGTTAATCTTATAATCCCGATAATGCCCTTTATAGCATTACGAGTCGACTCTAGTTACTGTTGACTTGGCGGTAATATCGTTTTATGCAAATAAACAAAGCCTATTTAAACATGCCTTCAGCAACGATGCCCTAGAAGAGTTAGTAATAAGACTCGGTCTAATGCAGCACCAACGTTATCCGTTCGCTAAATGCATTAAATGTTTTGTTACAATAGCAATTAATGTATCTTATTTTATTTCTACAATCCTTTATTTGAACGACCTACCAGTTTGCCCTCTGTAACCAACTGAAATAATAACGATTTACATGTAGTTACCTACTGGACCACGAAGATAATATTTTATATCGAGGACGCGTATTTTCTTACTTTCGCGGATTACCATGGCAAAGAAGAGAATCAAGATATCTTACGTAGAAGTTAAGAAGTTCTACTTTGAGAAGTTTAATAACACTTAAACTATTCGCTGTTTAATGTAGCCTAAAGACGTAAAGTGTAGATAGTAAGTTACAACAAGTTAGGTGAAATATTGCTCGCCGAAGATAGAATCAGGTACTTGTGGTCGAAACGCTTTCGAAATTGTAACAGACCCTGCCATCTATTAATGCCCGTGTTAATTAACATGCCATTACATACTTGCATCAAATAGCAAATGAGACACCATATTACACTCAGATTCCACGTGACAGAATTCTTAGCTCATTAGAAACACAACAGAAACTAAACTAAAATTTTAATCAAACACTTAAATTAACACTAAAAAAAAACTAATATCTCATGTGAATTGTTTTGGGGTTTTATGATGAGGGTATGCTAGCTTAATAAATTTGGATCAATAGATCAGATACATGGTTAGGTTAGGTTACGGATAAAAACTGTGAACACTAGCAAATACTAGGCGGTCTGGTATATCTGGTATAGCCAAAACGCAAGATCTAATAGTATTTCAAACATAAAAACAAGAACAACATCAACGACAAGCGTCTTCTCTTGATGGTAAATTTATCTGTCATTCCAGTGCGATGCTAAGTTCCAGTTCATAACTTTAAATCTATAGGACTATATTTTGTACGGGATTGTAAGGAAGTTGTGACGGGAACTACGAGCAAAAACAGCGGTGTTTATGGAGGTCGTAGAATAGAAATTGTACGCATAATCGGTGAACTGAATAGGCTTCGAGAACATCGCAAGAACAAGGGTACCATTAACTATTACAAACGCAAAAAGTTTTTATAGCAGTTTTAGGGCATACAATACTGGAAGTTTGATAAAGGGCGTGATCGTCATCCACCAATGGAGAACGTAGTAGAATGGACAGATTAATGTTATTATATTCGATAATTTATAATAATGGTTTGTTAACATTAAACTTTTGATTCTACACTATATCTGATTAGTATTCCGGAATAATTGAAAGGTGATATTTAGAGGCAGTGTATGGTGCAATAGGGGATGTAAAACGTATGCACAAAAGGTACCCCAGTTAACAAGCCGGCAATTATTGAGAACAATTGTCAAATTGACAGCTGAGTTACCCTTTCGTTCCTAGTAATTGTAACCGTCAATTCACGAAACAATCATACGTATTCGTGACCTTCGCAACAGCTGATACACAAACAAGTCAATTGCAAATAACGAGCCGTCGATAATTGAAAACAATTTGGCAGCTGCGTTATCTTATCGTCCTTTGTTAGCACAAGTGTGAAGTAACTGAACACTCATACCTATTCGTGACCTTCGAAACAGCTAGTACACGGACACGTTAATTGCAGTTAACGAGCCCTCAATAATTGAGAACAGTTGTCAATTTGGCAGCCGCGTTATCTTATCGTTCTTCGTTATCGCAAACGTCAAGTAACGAAACACTCATACCTATTCGTGACCTTCGCAACAACCAGTGCACAGACAAGTCAATTGCAGTTAACGAGCCGTAAATAATTGAGAACAGTTGTCAATTTGGCAGCTGCGTTATCTTAACGTCCTTCTTTATTGCAAGCGTCAATTGATGAAACACTCGTACCTATTCGTGACAACAGCTGATACACAGACAAGTCAATTGCGCGTGTGATGATTATTAGTAGTAGCCTGCACTCAGTAGTTACTATTCCATTACCAAAGATGCTGTTATTACCATTAAATACAAAAATATGTTGAATGTGAAGATATTAAACAAAAGACAATGTGTTCACAGGCAGAATATGCGGACATGGTTGTCGCATATGGACGATGTAATGAGAACGCACTGTGGCATCACGCGAAAATGCCGGAGCAGTTGGGGCTTTGGGTAATGTCTTTGCCGTCATATCTGTATGTATCACAGAGTGGTGTAAGATGGCTCATTCTATTTCTTTTTCTGATCAGACATAGTGTATATCACGGGCTGTATCGGTAAGCTATAAAGATTGAGCACTGTTACAATATCAGCATAACAAGTATTTTAATAAAAAAAAAGGAATTTATAATATACACGCCGCTATTTTTTTAATAATAAAAAAGGAAAGTCTATCAAATTAATTATTTCGGGAATTTGCGCAGCAGGTATTTTTTTGTATCAAATGAAAATGTAAGCCCCCTGAATTATGTGAACGAAAGCAATTAGAACGTTCCAAGGCAGTGAAGAATTTTAATAACTAACTCATCGATATCTCTATCTCTCGTTTCCAAGAAAATATACATAAAATGGTGACTCAATAAAACCTCCCCAATAATATAATGTGAAATTGATAAAATCTTTTTATTGAATGTTAATGGGCCGTCTCGAATTCTTCAGACATACATTTCAAACTACGAAATTCGAAACCCGAGCTAATATTAAATCCATATCGCTTTCTAACGAAACAAAATTTTCCCGGTTCCTAGACAGGATTACTGCATATCGAAAGGCCCCAGTTCGAGAACCCACTAAGGCTTAGCACAAGTTATTACGGGCTTCTTCGTATACTTCGTGTCATTTTCTCATTTAAGGTCAGAGTTTATATCTCACCAATAATACACGAGAAAATTGAGGATTAGACAGACACCTACACATTTTCTATCAATAGGTATGTGTGAGAAAAGATAAACGAATAAACGAATAAAATAAGGTTACACTTCGTATAGGTAAATCAAACAACAAAAAAAGTTTAAATATCCATATAAAGGTAAATTCTTACCAGGGTGTACTGAATATGTGTCCGCAATAAATGTCAATGCCAGAAATAAAGCAAATAAGGGCACCTGTAACAAAAAAGACACTCTATAGTAGATATAAAACTGATGATTAGTAAAATCAGTGAAGAATAATAATACCACAAGAATAATAAATAAAATCGAAAATGCACACCCAGCAATTAAACTACACTTAATATATTATCGTGATAGAGTACCAAAAAATATTAATATACAAATTAACGAAACCAAAATAAAAAGAGTGAATGAATGTAAATATCTAGGATTGATATTTGATTTTAATATGAGATGGGAAACCCATATTAGATATATTATTAGTAAGACAAAGTACTTGATCTTTATATTTCATAAATTATCTAAATTTATGTTAACAGAGATTCTAAGAATGATATACTATGCTCTATTCCATAGTATCGCCAGCTACGAAATAATAGCATGGAGAGGTGCATATACAAATAATCTGGACATAGTACAAAGACTACAAAATAGGCTACTAAAAATTGTGAATAAAAATAACTTCATGGTTGAGAAAAACCCATTACGTATTGATCAAATGTTTATATATGAATCTATTGTATATCACTATAATGATTTAAAAAACAAGTATTTAGAATCTGATGTAGAGCTAGAGGAAACAAATACCGATTCCTTTAATGAAAAAAGAAGTTAGCAAAAAGATGAGTTATTATGTTGCTGTTTATAACTTCAACAGACTACCAAANATCTTATTAATAAACGCTACTTACGATATTCGTTTATTAGTGTAAAAAGTGGCTGATTGAGTTATATCCCTGAAACTATTTACAACCGACGAGCATGAGATGTTACCGTGAGAACGTACTTTACTGATTATGCATTTTTCTTTCCAAAATGTAATAATAAAATTATCACTTCTTATTATAGATTTATTATATACCATTTTTTTTATAACCGGTCCAACGAACAGGTAACTACGTTTACCTCTGTTGGATTTACTTTATGTAAATTTACTGGTTTTCAAATAAATAAATAAATATTTATCCTCATAAATGTAGCAGAATCATGAAGAGATATAGACGTTATCTGGAAGAAAGTCTGTTAAACTCTGGCACCAACCGGGATTCTTTGTGGAAGGACTGTTGTAGAGCTTGCTTTGTTGTTAAAAAATATTAAACGACTACTAATTAATACGAAAATCGATCAGATTTTGCCGTTTAGTCAAATTTTATTGGAGTTGTATTTATTTTCGCAACATAAGGGCAAATGAAACGGAAGCTGCCCGCGCACAACTGAAGTTAACATGTGGCAAGTTCAAAATTCTGCTGATTGAGTCGAAATGGTGTCGCAGCCAGCAGAGGCAGCAATAGATGGTTATATTATTTAAGTAATGATGACATAGAACTAAAGTTTGTAGTCAGTGTTCTGTCGAAACAATCAGATGTGGATCGGCACATTGATCTGTCTGGATCTGATCATCTCGCTGTAGAGACAATTCTAAAAGTTCACCAACCACTTGGTGCCTTCAATACATTGGATTTTTTTTCAGGCACCAGGTACGTATACCGTATGTTTACTGGATCAATAGCGTGTCCATTACGTTCAGCTTTCCGTTGGTATTATAAATGCGGCACTTATGAATTTTTAAGCAAGTGCGAGCTCACCAATCTTAGCTCATAAGCTAAGGCGATCCGCACAGAATGGATATCGAATTTCTATTATGTAATAGGATTACGGTTCGCGTTTGATGTCAAAGTTAATTCGAAGTTTAATTCCATTACCAATACTAAGGAAACGAAGTTATCCCGAAAGGTCGTGAAGTTACCTATAGTAACTGTACAGTCGTGTTGAATATCATTCAGACATTAGAAAACAACGAACTCACGGCAAACTAGTTCGAGTGGTCACTGCCAGTAAGTAGAACAAGTATCCAGGAGTCGACTACCTAACTATGCACTATCGCTGGTGGTGGAGACTATGGAGAAACTTCCAAAGCCATTGTAACACTCGGATATCCAATTTTGTGCTGTTCAAAGCCCGGTTATTAACTATAAGTCTAAGAACCTCATGACATCGGAATCCTTTGGTTATGGTGCAGAAGTTTCTGTCAAAAGGGATCAAATTCCGGATGCTACTAAGGAGAAATTATACTCGTAATAATTCAAGAGAGGTATACAATGAATTTTGGTTTTATTTGGGGCCTAATTAGATATTTTATATTTTAGTTCTTCGTTTTAAATACAGAAGGTCATTCACTCTAAGAACCTTCCAAGGGACGCACACATGTACAAGACTGAATGTAGACAGTCAAAGCCTAAAATGTATCAAATCATGCTGAAAACGCTCACGGTGAATCCACTACTTCAACTGTTTTTTTTCCAAATCATTCCTTTCCATGCTACTAGTGACTCTACGCCTTTGTCTCTTTTAAAAACACTTTTGGATTTTCAGGTCGTTCCCGTATAATCCCAGCCAAAATTGTTCCCCTAAAAACATTTTGGTTTATAATGTGTCCATAGTCTATTGTATGTTCTATGATGAGTGAATATAATCGGCCTTGAGGTGATTCTTGTATTCTTTTATTTATGTGTTGACATATCTACGTATTTTTCCTGTGTAGACCTGATCACAAACACATGATATACCATGCATATACACCGAGGCCTTGAATAACTTCGTCATTATCTTCAGAAAAACAGATGCCATAATAATTGCTTGTAGTGCTGTTGTATTGCTGTTTTTATTTCTAACTTGTCAATGTAACCTTTCACAAAGGGAGATATTGTATACCCAGAAAATCTACTTTCTCCATTGAAATGTTTATACATATAAATGGAAGATTGTGCATCAAAATGACGTGGTACAGGAGTTCATGTCAGAAAGAGAAATCAAGTTCAAAATATGGAGAGACGAAACATATGCCTGTTTAATGTTAATTAGTGCTCTGAAACATGAGATTCTTCACATGTGAAACCCCTTTTGATAATTGAACAGTGAATTTAGATTTTGTTTGAGATGTCAGGCTGGTTCTCAGAAAAGCTTGCGGATCACTTATTCTCTATCGTTCTCTTCTTGGTTGCAAGCATTCTAGAAGCTCCAAGGCAGTATGCCTCAAATACTTCAGACAACATGAATCTACGATATACTGAGATGAGATTCCTTAATGTCTCTAGCACATATAAAGAGGAAATTGCAGTAATTTATGCCTTGAGCACAGAGTGTAAATTAACAAGGTAATTACTAAATTTGTCGTTTCTACTTGCTACGTGCCAGTCGTTAAGGATCAACCTGAAAAAATTACAATGCCTTATGTTGGTGATGAGAAAAGCGACCCATTAAGTGTTTTGTTAAGTGGTTCATACTGTTGTAATTATTAATTAAATACTTCAACCCTAAAATTTTTTTCGACAAAAAAAATTGACGAATCAAACTATTAATTTATTAATATAATTTGTAATATTTTGTTCCTAAAAAGAAAAACGGATCTATTAAGTAATTATAACTTATACATTAAAAGAAAACTGCTGCGAAAAGTATTCGAAATTTCCAAATTATAGTTTTCGTTATCCCGGAATTGGATCTCCGTATCTTTTTTTATTTTTTTGAAACGTTCGAAATATGATGTTACAGGCGAATGATGATAATATTACAGTGGATAGAGAAGGTTAGAAATGAAGAGGTATTAGAAAGAGTAAGAGAACAGAGGACTCTACGGAAGTCAATAAGAAATAGACGATACAGGTTAGTAGGACACCTTCTCAGGCATGAAGGTCCAGTCAGAGACATATTAGAGGCAGAAACAGGAGTTAGGAGGGGTAGAGGTAGACCTAGATTAGATTACTGTTCGCAAATAGTTAAGGATATGGGTTGCTCTAGCTTTAGAGAGATACGAAGATTAGCGCAGGATAGGAAAGAGTAGAGGTGCATGTCCAACCAGTCTTAGGACTGACGACCTTATGATGATGATGATGCTTCGCTAATATGGGCGAAGACAAAATTCCAAAACTTGTGACGATAACGAAAACGAACACTATCTGGGGTCCTATAATGAGCAAAGCTAAACATGTACCACCTATTTCGACGGTTTCTCCCACAAATACTCCCGTCTCCTTCCCACACTCAACCCTTTTCCCAACTCACTCCTCTTCCCACTCCCAACTTTTCCATTTCCTTCCGGGGATGTATAACCTTCGCGTTCATCTTCCCCCTCGAGGAAGGGTTTTAGTCGATGAAAATCCGACACTACCTCCCTTCAGGAGGTGTCTTTCGAAGATTTCCCCTCCTCGAGAATAATCTAAACAAAAAAAAGGGAAAAAGAGAGAGGAGATTAAGTGAGGTCCGCGAAGCCGGGAGGAAGAGGTTATCCATTGGTCCATATGGTTCGGAGATCGTCGAGTGCATCATAGACTAGCGTTGGGTTGACGATTACAACCATGTACCTAAAACTACCCTTACAGAGCGAAACAACGGTTCCACATACAGCATATATAGTTTCCTCCCGGAATTCAAGGAAGAGTAACCGTTTAACTCAATCTCCCTCAGTGACTAGAGGCTCCTACCTGATAAATTGTGTTATATATTTATTGTCGTTAGTATAAGTCTTTAAGCATAAGTTGATTTGACAATAGTTATACTAAATAAACAATAATAAATGGAAAACAGGTGTTTCATGGTAAACCTCTCCTACGTCAATCGACCCCCTGGCAACTACAATACAATATGTCTGTCAGTTCATTTACACATCAGACCGTTCTATATTAACAGCCCAGCAATACAGAAACTTGAAATTGGAGATTTTAATCAAATTTTTGAGAAATATTATTTGAGAAATTTAGAAAAACCTCTCGTAACTTAGTGGTAGAGCAATGGTACGTAAAGCCCAGGGATCAGGGTTCAATTCCCGGCGAGGATGTGACAACACCAACAATTCTTCGTCATTAATTTGAGGTTACCTGTAGTAGTAAAAATTAATTTACTTTAATGTAATATCAATATTTGTTTTAATCGGTGTATTCTCCAATGTTTCACCAAAGAGAGAAAGGTATTTGAAATTAAATTTACCAATTAACTAA